CGGCTCTTCGTATCCTGTAGAAAATGATGTTTCCTGTTTTCCACTGGGGGAAACCATTTATAAATGTTCATCTTATTAATAACAGTTTCCTTTGTGAGTAAGGAATTAGTGCTGCTTGTCATTTGCTGTGTCCACTTCCCTCAGGTTAGAAAGGTCACCTTATAATATTAGATTGGTCTGAGTCTGAAGGACTTCTTGACATCCAGCAAATGACTGATCCAAACCATATAAATATAAATAAAACACAATATGCAGGAGTTTTAGCTCTGTGTGCCACAGATATAATTCACAGAGAATTCATGCTAGATACCAGTCTTTGAAGCAATCCAGCCTCGATACTGACTCACTTTTGTGTAGACCCCAGGTTTTTTGGGAAGAGCACATGATTGTCCCCAACTTACTATACCAACAAGGTACCAAATGTCACGATTATCATAAACCAGAGGTCCACCAGAATCACCCTGGAAAAAAAAAACAAAAACATTTCAAATTGATAAATGTAATATAATTTATTATATTATATGGCAATCATATCTCTTCCACAGAAAAAAAGGAAACTGGTACACAGAACACACAGCCAGACTAGAGATAGATTATAATGATTCTCTCAATTGAGTTAAAATTTTATGCTATAAACTTTAAAGTGCATTGTTTTCTAGAAAGATTAACACTCATTCATATGGAATAGTTACATTATTCTAGTTCAGGATCCTTGGATTTATTTATTTATTTATTTTGCTAGTTTGAATAGCAAATGGTTTAGTAAACATGTACGTAAAATATTTGCTATAAAGTTAGTATTTGTGCAAAACATAAAATTTTAATGATCTCTTCTAAGTATAGTTACCTTGACTGTATTTTATGGACTTATTCTTCGTCTTCTTTTCTTTTACTCACTGAACAAATTTATGTTTGCTTGCTGAATTTTACATAAGCCCCATAAATCTCTTTTGGAACAAGGAAGGTTAGGTAAATAAGCAGATATAAATGTAGAGGTTAAAAGTGTCTCAATGGTTGAATAGCCTGCTTATCACTCCCAGCTCTATGAATTACTGGTTGTGTGACCTATGCTAAGATACTTAACCTCTCTGTGCCTCTTCCACCTTCTTCGTTTATTTATTTTTCTGTCAACTATTTATTGAGTTCCCAGTATATGTCCCAGGCATTTTGACAGGCACTGAGAATACAATAATGACCCAAATGAATGGTCTCTATGCTCATAGAGCTTGAATTTTAGGTTTTAAAACCAATATTAAGTAAGCCCACAAACTAATGCAAAATTAATCTATGATAAGTGCTATGGAAACATACAATAGGGGCATTTTACTACCTAGGGAGGCCAGGAAAGTGTCCCCTGATGAGATGCAATTAAGAAGATATCTAAAGGAAGAGGAGGTAACCATGAAAAGGGAAGTACGGACAAAATGTGTTCTGGGCAGAGGAAACAGCATGCCCGGCATATGCAAAGGCCTGTAAAATAAAAAAAGAGACTGGAGAAAAGACAGCAAGGGGCCAAGTGGTATGTGAGGGGGCTATAGAGGTAGAGAGAGACAGTCCAAATGGAGCCCCATGATCATTTTAAGAAGTTTCTGTTTTTTATCTCAAGATAAAAACAAAGGTAAGCCACTGAAGTGTTTTAAAGACTGTTGACATTGACATGGTCAGATTACATCTTGTTAGAAACCATTCTGGCTTTCATTTCACTAATGCACTAAAGGAGCATAGAATGAATATAAGGAAATAAGGTAGATGACTAATGTGGTTGAGAGGTGAGGAAAGGAGGAGAAAAGGAGAGGGAGAAAGAGAGGAAGAGGGAAGAAGAGAGTGAGAGAGAGAGAGAGAATGATGAGGAGATGTTTAAAGTGCTAGAATCCATTCAATTGGGTCATCAATTAGTGCAAGATAAGGAGGGTAAGAAGCTTCTAAACTTCTGGCTTGTTTAACAGAATGAAACGGGGGTGGCCATTCATAGAGATACAAAATATAGGAAGACTATCAGATGGAGAGGGTGGAATAAGCAGAATCAGGGGCAACATTTTGAATGAGATGCCATTGAAATATCCAAGTGGAGTAGAATACATAAGCCTGGAGACCAAAGGGGAGGCTGGGGGCTAAAAGTATAAATTTATGAATCATCTGCTAAAAGATGACAATTGAAGCCAAGAAAGAGAATTAGATGCTCTAAGGAGAAAGTATGGAGTAAAAAGAGGAACAGGCATAGTATAGATCAAAATGTAATGTCAGGGATTAAGAGAATGATCCTGATAAGGAGACAGAGAAGGAGCCAATAGAGATGTAGGATGGAAATCATTACAAGCCAAGGGAAGATAATATTTCAGGAAAGAGGGAGTGATAAGCATTGTTAAATGCTGTTAAGAGGTTAAAAAAAAAGAAAGAAAGAAAGAAAGAAAGAAAGAAAGAAAGAAAGAAAGAAAGAAAGAAAGAAAGAAAGAAAGAAAGAATAAGACCAAAACTCATTTATTGGAGGTTACTGGTAGAGCATTAAAAACCTCAGGAAGAGCTATTTTTTATGAAGTGATAGGGCAAAAAACATATAGAAATGGTTTGAGGTGTTAGTAGGGGTGGAGAAAATGGAGACAATGGGTATAAACATTTTTTCAAATATTTGACGGTAAAGAGAAGACAGGGTACTAGCTGGAGGCACATGGGTCAAGAAAGAGTGGTGGTGTTTTGTTTTGTTTTGTTTTTCCTAATTTGAAAGACCTGAATAGGGAAGGAAATGGTAACAAGAGAAATCCTGACTATGAAAAGAGTGATAGGACATAATTGCTAGTGAAAACATCCCCAAAAGAAGAGGAACCTGAGCAGAGAAGGGATTATCAGCCTGAGAGCAGCTTCTCTATTGTGACATAAACTGAAGGTGGATAAAATGGGTCCAGATGAAGGCGGGTCTGCATGCTTGATGCTGGAAAGAAAAAGAAATTCCCCTCATACGACCTCTATTTGACTTTGAAAATCGGGAAACAAAGTCATCAGTTAAGAATAAAGGGTTAGAAAAAAACCAGGAAGCTGAGGAAAGTGGAAAATGTCGGGAGAATTCAGAGAATGGTAGATTTGGAAAAGCAAACAAACAGAATAGCAAGATTGTCCGTCTTGTTATCTGGAAGCTATAGTGAAACCAGTGTGTTCTGTTGTATTTTTTTCCAGGAGCATTTGATTTCCAGGGTTCAGGCAGAGGGAGAAATTAAATTGTTGAGTTCTTCCAGGTTTAGGACTCTGTCATACTGAAAAGAGAGGGCAATAAGTGAGCTTGGGCTGTTATCAAAAGTGTTTAAAAAAGGATAGTAACATCTAAGCTGGATAAGTAGATGATGGAAGAAAGGAAAGGACTAAAGGGACATGAGAAAACAAAGAAACAATGGTCTATAAGTCTATAAACTTGAAGAAAGGCAATATTTTATTGACCCATAAATATTTGTGCCAGGTAATGTTTTAGGTGTTGGTAATACATCAGTAAATAAAATAGACACTCTCCTCCCGCCCCCCCCAAAAAACCAAGCTGTGCCTTCATGGAGTTTATATTCTAGTTTAGTGGGAGAGAAAGAGACAGTAAACCAGCCAAATAAAATATATTGTGTATGGGATGATGATGATAACTAAAGATAAAAATAAAACAGAAGAGAAGCACAAAGAATATATGTTTAGGTAGTATGGGTTGGGGTAGTTTGGAGTGTAACACAGAGACTGTGGCCAAGGAAGCAGCAGTAGTTGAAAAGTAGCAGGGAAGGATTGGGGAGAGGTTAAATAGGAAGATTTGGGGAATTAGTATTTTTAGAGTTTGGGGCAATAAGAATAGATGGCTGAGGATAGGGAAAGATCACTGCAGATTAGGAGATTTAGAAACTAAGAACCCAGCATTCAAATGGGACAGTGTTAATATTACAGGGCTTGAGATGGAGAGGAAACCTATTTGAGGTATCAAAATCATTAAAGAATTAAAGGGACAAAGGGGAGAGACTCAGAGATGGGGGACAGAACAGGACATATGAGAAATGATGACAGAACTGAATAAAGTGGTCTACAGAAGAGAGGTTTCTTTTGTTTTCAGTTTTGTTTAAGAAAATAGCAATAGACCTTAAGAGTAACTGTATGAACCAGAAATAGGAGCAACAGATTTTAATTTCTTAATTTGTAAAAGAGAGACCATTGTGGCACTACTTTGATCTCCTCATATTAAATAAAATAATGTCTAAAAAGTGCTTAGCACTTGGCTTGGCACATAGTAAACATTCAAATTTAATATTTTTTGTTATTATGATTAAGTAAACTGAGTTTTTGGTAAAATAGATGCTATTTTTGTTTCCCAAATGAAATATATGCAAAATTTAGAAACAGCTAATGGACACTTTCTTTTTTTAATGTTTTGACCTTGACTTTGTACTTACCTTACATGCATCTATTTTTCCTTCCATGAATCCAGCACATAACATTCCTGAAGTTATCAGGCCATCATACACATCCTTTCTGTTACACACATTAGTACTTATGGTTTCCACCCTGGCTTGCCGAAGTTTATTTTGNGCTACCTCTGATTTTTTTCTTATATATAAAGTGATAGTGGATGTTGATACTGGGAGGATACAGGGATTGGCAGAAAACTAAGTAAAACAGAAGTGGCTGGATTTTTTCCTTAAATATATGGAAGAATTTAAACTTGTTACATGTATAATAGTCTTTACACTAAAATAATTTATGATATAGTAAGAAAGATAACAGTAGTGTCATGATAATACAGGAAAATATAGTAAAAACCATGAGAGTGATACAAATGAAACATCATAGCTATTGAGAGAAGGAAGAAAGGATGGCTATGAATAGACAATAGAGCAAGCATAACGTATTTTAGGGGACAGAGCAGTACCCATCCATAATGGAGCAGCGGATAAGATAGTGAAATTGGATTCTTCTCAAACACTGAATCGATTGATGGCAACTGATAATGAGAACAAGAAGACTCATAGCAGCCTTGGTGAACTTACTTGCGGAAGCAATGAGCTGCTGTGAGCAGCCATGTGTTACTGATAAGGCTGGCTCCGCACTGATGGCCAGCCCCTTTGAGCTGGAGGCTGGCCTGCCATGGCCACTCCCCTTCCACAGATGTTTCCCTTCCTTGGATAATCCTTTCTGTAGAAGAGGATGCTGGTAGTGGCATGTTTGAAGATGTCATCCTTATTCCACAGCCTGTCACAGAAATAGACATTAGCTTGTTTTCATAAAAAGGAGGGGGAAAGGCATATTCTGATTTGCATTGGGTGCTGATGCTTAGATAATCTATTGTACCTGCTACTCTTTAATCTATTCGTAGCACTGAGGTTATTCTGTAGAGATCCTACTGACCATTTTGAGGTTCAGAAGAAATATTTACTAATGTTTCAAGGCATCCAATGCAGGAATTAACTTCTGCCTCTTCATACAATGTACATATGGGTGAATAAATAGATAGGTAATTAATTGAACATCAAAATATATAGATCCTCTGCTAAGTGTTTTAGGTACATTTACAACAAAACACTTTTCAGATGAGTAAATTCAGCTTTGGAGAGTGAACATAAATTGTTGGAGGTCACCCAGCTTATGAGAGTTGGATACAAAACTAGGAGGATCCACATCAAAGTTTGTGTTCTTATTACTGAGAGAGAGCCCAATACTGAACCTAGGTCATGATTCTGCCTTGACATGAATAGTTACATTGTATTTGAAAAGCCCTAAATTTTAATAGCCTTAAACAATAATGAGCTCTTAATTTTCTGAAATTTGGAAGTCTAGTTTTTTTTTTCAAAAATTCTGATTCCCTGATAACAAACCTTCAATTGATTAGACTTCAAATCAACCTTAAATAAGACTTGAAAGAATATTAGTATATTTTATTAATGCACCTTGTAATTATTTATATTTTTATTAAGAATACATTCTTTTTTCAAAAAAAGTTTTATTCAGAAACAGGTAAGAATAGTTGCCTGAAATCATATTTACAAATACATCATAATTCATTCAGTATTAAATAGCTTCAGCTTAACCTGAGTTCAAATTTGAACAAATAGGGTTTCTAGGTTAATGTGGCATCATATCAGTAGTGCCTAATACTTTCTCTCCCGACTTCCCCTTAAAATATGCATAAAGTAATAATAATATAAATAATATCTACTAGTTATGAGCCAGGCCTTGTACATAGTGCTAGCTATGTTTTCTCTAATTTTCACAACTCTCAATGGTAAGTGTTATTATCCTCATATTGCAGATGAAAATTTTGAGTCTATGGTATTGTTCAAAGGCAAAAGGAGCAAAATCATAAAAAATTAAGGAAAGATAAGGAAACATTATNAGGAAGAATTTCAACAAAAAAAGAAAGAAGAAAAAACTATTAGAACATTGTGGCTTAAAGTATATGTTAACCAGAGCATTTACATATGGGAAATATACAATTTGGATCATTTACTCCCTTGTACTCCCATAGCATTTTGTCCCTCTTATAGCATCTAAAACAGCCTGCTCTTTTATTCTATATTAGCCTCCCCTTTCTCAGCACTGCTTTAATTAATTGTGAAATCCTCAAGGATAGGGACTCAATTCCTTCAACTTTTTAACCCACAGCCCCCTGTTCTGCTCAGGGCCATACACATTGGAAGCATCAACATTATTTTTACTCAAAATCTGAAGAGGGATGCTCTAAAATAGCTTGTTAGAACTTAAGACCTATTTGTATAGAGTACATTAGGTTGAATACTCACCATCATCTACAATGGACCCAAATCCTGTGACAAAGACACTTGTTTTAGGTGGCAACTTTATAGATGAATCTGGGAGGCAAACTCTCTGGACTGTATTTGAAAACTCAACTCGGGTAGTGAGCTGAGCCAAAGCAATGTCATTTTCATTTGTTTCTCTACGGTAATTTTCATGAAGGATGATTTTCCCCACATTTCGTTGTACTGCGGGTGGTGTTATAGTTATACCAAAAGTAGCAGTCCATTGACTTGGGTCTTTATTTCTGCAAAACATTAAAGGATAAAATTTATGATGCTTAACTTTATACTTTAAACAAGATTAAGACTGTATTTATCCCCAACTATTGGGATTATGCTCCTGAAAAATCCCTATGGTGAGAGAATTTGCAGCTGATGACCTTATTGGAAAAAAGAGGTTAAAAACACTGATAATATAAGAGATTATGAACACTCTGAAAATATTTTATACCCTCTAAAATTAAAAAAGAGAACAGCAACTAGATGAATTTTTCATGCTTTATTTGGATTAATAATAGTACTGGGTACTATACAATTAATGTCTAATTTTTTAATTCCTTGTTTATTAGAAACTCACCAAATTATCTTCTGTAATTTCAATGAACTGTGTATATATTTATTTAGATTTGTTTTGGATATTATTCATACTGAGAGGCATTTTTCCTCTATCAGACACTTCATTCATTCTTATTTTATGACTCACCTGTCAGCTCTTAATTACTGGCTCTTACTGTGATCACTGAGACAAAGTGTAATTTGTCTCTTGTGAATACAAATTCTTATGTGTATACAGGATTTTTTCTCCACCCTATGCTCAGACCCTGTCCTGATATTCAAAAACTAAGCAGCCCTAACTCAAAGTCATGCTGTTAGAGCTCCTGCGGCCCTTTGATTTGCCTGGTTAGTCCTTCTTTCTACTTTTAAGTCTCTCCCTTCACGCAGATGCTTTTCTCCCTCAAAAAGTGACACCACAAGCAACTTCTGTCTAGTCCTACCATCTCTTTACCTCCCTATTTCCCCCAAAGCCCACTTCCTTCTTTTTCGAATTATCTCCATCAAGAATGACTAGAAGTATATAGAAACTTGAAATTCTCTGTATAGAGAATTATGTAGAAGGAAATCAGAGGAGAATTCAAAAAGATTTCCTTGTTTATGCAGGATTACTGTATTAATGAATCACAAATGATTAAGTGTTAGTGAAAACCTGAAATATCAGTGGTTTTCAAAGTACTAGGCACTGCCCCAGAAATGAGTAGGCAGAGATCCGGGGTGGGGACCAGGAGATGTGGAGGGTTCCTCTCTCAGCAGTCTTACTTATTTACACTTTAAAGTAAAATTTTACTCAAAGCTGAAATCTTAGGGCTGAAGCTTTCATTTGAAAACTAGAATTCTGAAAGTTATAAAACATATATGACCACTCCTCAAAGGACTCCTGAACTAACTGAGTACATAAAGCAGAAGTACCCCTCCTCTTCATGCATTGTCAACCAGAAAGGAAGCCTTAAGTAATAGGCCAGGTTCAACATGCTTGTGGATAGGGACATTGAGACTCGGAAGTTAAATGTAAGGGCATAACCCACTGGATATGCCCAGGTGAGAGACATATCCAACTGGTTAGTGTCACAGAGAGATGGCCCAGGTCTCATGATATCCTATCAAGAGCTTTTTCTCCACNCAATAAGTGAGCTTGGGCTGTTATCAAAAGTGTTTAAAAAAGGATAGTAACATCTAAGCTGGATAAGTAGATGATGGAAGAAAGGAAAGGACTAATGGGACATGAGAAAACAAAGAAACAATGGTCTATAGGTCTATAAACTTGAAGAAAGGCAATAGTTTATTTGACCCATAAATATTTGTGCCAGGTAATGTTTCAGGTGTTGGTAATACATCAGTAAATAAAATAGACACTCTCCTGCCACCCCTCCCACTCCACCCCCCCCCAAAAAAAAGCAAGCTGTGCCTTCATGGAGTTTATATTCTAGTTTAGTGGGAGAGAAAGAGATAGTAAACCAGCCAAATTAAATATATTGTGTATGGGATGATTATGATAACTAAAAATAAAAATAAAACAGAAGAGAAACACAAAGAATATATGTTTAGGTAGTGTGGGTTGGGGTAGTTTGGAGTGTAACACAGAGACTGTGGCCAAAGAAGCAGCAGTAGTTGAAAAGCAGCAGGGAAGGATTTGGGAGAGGTGTGAAATAGGAAGATTTGGGGAATTAGTGTTTTTAGAGTTTGGGTAATAAGAATAGGTGGCTGAGGATAGGGAAAGATCACTGCAGATTAGGAGATTTAGAAACTAAGAACCCAGCTTTCAAATGGGACAGTGTTAATATTACAGGGCTTGAGATGGAGAGGAAACCTGTTTGAGGTATCAAAATCATTAAAAAATTAAAGGGACAACGGGGAGAGACTCAGAGATGGGGGACAAAACAGGACATATGAGAGATGATGACAGAACTGAATAAAGTGGTCTACAGAAGAGAGGTTTCTTTTGTTTTCAGTTTTGTTTAAGAAAATAACAATAGACCTTAAGAGTAACTGTATGAACCAGAAATAGGAGCAACAGATTTTAATTTCTTAATTTGTAAAAGAGAGATCATTGTGGTACTACTTTGATCTCCTCATATTAAATAAAATAATGTCTAAAAAGTGCTTAGCACTTGGCTTGGCACATAGTAAACATTCAAATTTAATAATTTTT